CCGCTGCAGGAGGTTGGTAGGCAGGAAGGGGGGTTCCCCAAGGTGGTGGACAAGAATCTGTTTGAAACTGTGGTGGTGTGCGAAGGAGGGAGGGAAGGGGAAGGATGCTACCTGCCATACCGGCTGGCAACAAGGAGACGGGACCTCACGTCGGATCCAAGGGAGTGGGAGTGGCCGTCCCAAAGGATGCAGACGAGAGCAGTCCCGCTACAGGATCTGACCACGAAGATTATTGACAAACTCCCTATTGGAGCAGGCGGACATTAGCGGAGAGCTTAGGGACCGCTGGGCCAAGAGGAGCTGGCTTCCGGACGTATGCCTCAACAAGTGGACGAAGAAGAGGTGGAACGAGCAATGTGCCGTCTTGGCAACCCTGCCAGATCAGAAACAGGCTGGGCTGCTATTGAAACGGTTTTCACCTTTTAGCAGTAGCGGATGCAGTACCCAGGGTTCGATCCCTAGACCTCACCCTACCGATGTACAGTATCTGTGTAGACCCCGAGAATTGAACCTGCGACCTGTGTATTCGTAGGCAGTTGGTAGACCTGTCGTAGGTCCATAGACAGCAGGGGTTCGATCTGTAGGTCTATAGCGTAGGAGTCTTAGTGAGTTCTGGAAGCTTAGCTGTAGACCTTCTAGAAGGTAGGCAAGTGGGCAAGTGGTCAAGTGGTGAGGCAAGTGGTGGACTAAACCGCAGTGCAACAGCAGTGCAACGGCGGTATGAGTCCACAGTCAGTCAACGGAAGGTCCAGTCAGTCCCAGTCCGGTCCAGCAAGTACCACAGGGGGACTGTAAGCACCAAGGGCCGATGGCAAAGGGCAGACCAACGAGTTTCTGAAGTATAAATCAAGAGGCAGCGCCCAGCCATTCATTCATTCCTGCGTGAGCCATGCGGAAGCGCTGCCACAGCGACTTGTGCAAGGAGGTCTGCAGATGAGCCCGGAGGACGCAGTGGGCAAGAGAGGAGTTAGCATAGCGATAGGTTAGAGGCAGCCATAGCTGCCATAGCTGTAGTTAGTAGTGAGCGTGTGTGTGTGCTCGAGTGTTAGGGTGATGCGTGTGGGATATCCAGGGTGATCCAGTGTATGTGAACAGTGAGATGTTTGGGCGCTGAAGTCGCCATAGCCAATTGAGAGTGAACTCGTATCTGAAAGCCATATCTCTGAGTTTTGAGTGGGCGCATGTCGCCAGTATACTGCGTTGCTGTTTACATGCATGAAAAGTGTGTTTGAGAACGAGTCTGATTGCACTATGGCAAATTTATCACCTGACGATCCCAACAGCACAATGGCTGGCACTCAGGAGCCAACACAAGGACCAGGAATGTGCTGCAGGGTGCGGACAAGTAGAGTCTATCTCCCATCTGTTTGTGCGGTGCCCGATAGTCAGGGCATTCTCGGAATGGTGAGCACACAACGTGGCAGACGGATCGCCGCTGGATGTCACAGAGATGGACGCCGCTGCCATCCTCTTATGGGCCCTCATGAAGGTGGATAGGTCCAGAAAGGAAGACGTGCTGGCTGCAGAAACAATACGAGCAGCGGCCCTGTGGGCCCTGTGGACCCTGTGAAATGAACGATGCAGACAGGGAACAGCCCCACCGCTCCAAGTGAGTCAAGAGAGGGCGTTGGAAAATATCAGGACCGCCCTTATGGTGGACCACTGGAGGAGCAGCCGCACGGAGAAGCAAGGGAAACAAGCGTTCTGGGAAACATGGAGCACATACCCACAACTGCTCAACCACGACCCCCAGACGGGCCGAATGCGGTTTGGCCCAATCTTAATGCGCCATGTACCTAGTCCCCAAGATGACGAGGACTGATCTCAACCGATGTATAGTTAGGAGGGATGGGCGGAGTTGTATGAGAGCTTCCGATAATGGGAGGGAAATAGTTGTATTACAGTACGGGGCAAGAGGGGGAGTGTTCACCTATAGAGGGGGGTAAGAGGGTAAAAGGGGTCAAGAAAATGCTGGGGCTAGAACATAGCAACATGCAGACATGTATAGTGCAGGACCCAAGGTAGTGTGGACCTTTTTCGGCCTTCTTCGGCCACTTTCGGTGCAAATACTACGAAGGATCAAGCATAGGTAGATAGGATTAAGGTTTAGGCCCTTTAGGGATAGGAAGGCAGGTTTAAAGCCAAGAAAAAACTGATGGTAGGAGAGGTAGGATATCAAGGACAGAAGGGTTCAGGGATACAGATGACATGGGGATCGGAGGCAGAGGAAATGCTGGGCTCAGGTAGACGTGGTGGGAAGGTGCGAGTAAGTAACAGGCGGCCCAAGGGGCTGCTAGGACCCCCCCCCCCCCGGTGCCTTGACCCCTTAGGGATTGTCCTGCAGTGTGCCTGGGTGCTGGTAGTAAGCTTCCCAACTGGCAGGACAATCCCTAAGGAAAAGCCAAAGGGTGGGGGAGCAGGTGGTGCTGGAGCAGACCACCCCTTGGATAGGCGGCTCGAGCCACAAGGGTAGGCTGACTATCTTTTCTGTCTCATCTTCCCCGCTGCTTGTTTCAAAAAACTTTGCTTGCCAGTGATAAGCAACCGGACAGATGCCCCGCAGAATAGAAGGGGCTGAGAGCTTTTTTGTTAAAAAAGAAAAAAAAAGAAAAAGTAGTAGTACTGTAGTACCAGTGATTCGGACATTTTTAATCTTCAGGATTTGACGGACCTTGAGGACTTGGAATTATTATGCAGCAGCAGCAGTGTAACTAATGCTGACGTCATTTTCAGTACTTTGCACTCTGAACCTGGCATGTTGAAAGTATACCACCTCTGTAAAAGAAAGAAAGAAAGAAAGAAAGAAAGAAAGAAAGAAAGAAAGAAAGAAAGAAAAGAAAAGAAAAGAAAAATTGATCAGACAAATCTGTCTATGGACAGTTAGTTATGCTCGACTCAAACGATGTATCCATCACCTGGATCGGGTCCACGGACAGAAAAAAAGCTGATTGGGATCGGGTCTGTTTACTGAAAAAGCTGATTGGGATTTGGTTCATTGACAGATGGGTATATTCAATACTGAGTCCAGTGAACGATCACTACCTCCGAGCCTCATTTTCTTGCTGAGCCAGAAAAAAGAACTGCGCACCAAGATTTGCCGAAGCACCAGTGCGGCCCTTTTCTTCTCTTTTGGCTGGCACTGCCAATAATTGGGGTCCAGTAGCATTCATCTGAAGGACCGGCAATGTTACATTTTCGATGCTCCACGTTGCCTGGGGAAGGTAGTGGTGGTGTGACAGAAAGAGCTGAAATGGATCAAGTTTCATTGACAAAAAAAGAGCTGAAACGGACCAGGTTCATTGACAAAAGAGCTGAAATGGATCAGGTTCATTGACAAAAAAGATGAAATGGATCAGGTTCATTGACCAGAAAAAGCTGATTGAGATCCGGTCCATTCACAGACTGAGAACTGTGCTGATTCTGAAATTTTGACGCTGGAATGTGTGACTCGCTGAGATTCCCGCTTTCTTTCTGATGAGATTTCTATGTGTGTGTGTGTGTGTGTGTGTGTGTGTGTGTGTGTGTGTTTGTGTGTGTGTGCGCGCGTGCGTGCGTGGTTGGCGAGATTGCGTGTGTATGTATGAGTGCATGATTGCTGGTGTGTGTGTGTGGCCGCAAGGGTACTTGTATGTTTGGAAGGCCCTCAGCCCTGGTACTTACCTGTGGCGGCGCTTTTGTGGGGTTGCAGCGGGGACGTAGTGGTAGGCTAGCCCATGTAGCTGGAAAGCACTCAAGTAGCGGGTAGGCTAGGCCCGCGTAGCAAAGAAACACTCTAGGGCAGAGTTAGGCATGGTAGAGGGGACATATCAGACTTGCATTGTCCTCTGAACATCGAGGCAAGCCCCCCCCCACCCAGTAGTCTGCCATAGCCACCTACCAGAGAAGACGAGGAGGACGAAGGTGAAGGTCGCTGCTAACCATCACTTGTTCTTCTTCTTCCACCTCGTTGACTCGCATAGGAGAATAAAATAAAATCCGTTGGGAATGGTCATCCTCCTCGTTGACTCGCATGGGAGAAAATATAGTATACACTAACCAACCATCACTTGTTCTTCTTCCACATCACATGCCGACACAATGCACTGACTGCGACATGACGGCTGTGGCAGACCCATAACAGAACATGTCCACAACTTGAAATCTTATTGGAACGGTCATCCTCCTCATCGATTGGCAATAGAGAATATACTAAGCAGCACTCCTGCTGCATCACATGAAAAAAAAAAAGCAGCACTCCTGCTGTTCACATGAGCACGATGAGTCGGATGAGCAGAGTGCCACATGACGGCTGGCAGACTACATAACAGAACATGCTCACAACCTGAAATCCTTTCCATATGGTCACCATCATCGTTGACTGGCAAGGGAGACTAATAGAACATACTAACCGGCACAACCTGCAATCCTTTCGGAATGGTCATCCTCCTATTACTCCTAATCATCACCGATTGGTACTCTTTTTCCGCATCGCATGCGCACGATGCACCGATTGCCACATGGTGGCTGGCAGATTACATAACATGATAACAGGACATGTTCACAACCTGAAAAATCCTTTCCGAGCGCTCATCCTCCTCCACATTGAATGTTATGGGAGAAACATACTAACCGCCGGCACTCCCCCCTTCCGCATCGCATTGCCGACAATCCACTGACACTGACAGCAAATGACGGCATGACGGTTGGCAGATCCGCAGGACTGCTGCATACATATAACAGCACAGAGGTCTTCTTCTCAACTTCCCTGTGACCTGTGAAATGGTCATCCCCCTTCTCATCATCGAATGCCATGCAAGAATAAACTAACTAGTAACTGCCAACAACACTTGTTCTTCCACCCATTTACCGAATTGAAAAAAAAGTAAAAAAAACTTAAAAAAAAAACTTTTACGCGATTATTGTCACTTCGCCAAATTTGTCTTTTAATCCAGTCCCAAAGACTCCAAAGAGTCCACACTAGTTGTTGTTGTTGTTGTTGTTGTTGTTGTTGTTGTTTTTTTGCGTATCCTTTCTATTTGTTGAGGCAGAACCATTTTTGGTTCGCCGAACGCTTCTACATTTTCTGCCTCCTCCAAATTGAATTCATCGTCTCCAATCACCTGCTGACAATGCAGTGCCACATGGCAGCACTACGAATGGTCAGTGTGCTTCAGACCCACAGGAACTCACTCCTGGAACAAACTGGTCTTTCCCCTTGTCCTCCTGTGCGTACCGGCGACAAGATAACAAGTCGATATTTTCTTGTTCATAACTCGTATCTGCATACGGTCGATGGTCAACCGTCACCAACTTTTTGTTGACTTTAGAGTCTGGAAAAGGACTTGTCATATGATATAAGCCTATAACCACTGCGAGTGTGAGTGTACTTCACCGAGTCCTCACCGAGTTCACCCTCTCTTGCACGGGCTTGGCGTTTTTCCGAAGCAGCAACAAAAGTGGAATTGGATGACGAAGACGAGCGTACCGCCGTCATCATCCCACTTTCCGAGTGGACAAGTTAGCATGACAGCGCAACTCCTCGAAGACCTCCATACTCTCAGCGTCGAATCCTCCAGCAAACTGCAATTGGCAACAACAACAACAACAACAAAAAAAAAAAGAAAAAAAAAAAGGAGAGGGAGAGAACAGAGAAGCACCAAAAAACGACTCAGAGATAGATTGCCTTAACTAAAAATCAGTGACTGATTGAGCTCTGCTTCGGATATTCTTCCAAAACTTCACATATATATTATTATATTATATACCAATTTAGTAATTTATGCAATTTACCAACGAGCCTAGCTCAGTTTGCACACGCATGAAACTGTTGAAATACAGACTCAAGTTCGAATCCAGATCCTGGAACTAAATGCATGAAACCAAATAGTGCTGAATTACCTGGGGCCAGTCAGCTCGAAGGCAATATCTCAAGGCCGTTGCCTTTTTTTTTTTTTTTTTTTTTTTTTTTTTTTTAAGGAAAGCAGGGTTACCTGACCGAACGTTCGGCGGCCCCCGGGCTGGCCCCCGAACGTTCGGGCGTTCGGGGTCCCGTTCGGGGGCCGAACAACTCCAGGTTCGGCCCCCGCCAAAAAAAACTTCTGGGCTTAAAAATAAGTTTTTTTTTCTGAATTTGTTTTTGTGAGTTCTTTATGATGTAACCTACACGCCTATAAATTTTGAAGTCATTCTGCTAAGCCCAAAAAACATTAAAAATCGTCAAAGATGGGGGTGTCAAAACGTGCTCGCCCACTCACTATTTTGTTTTTTTTTCACTTTTCACTTTTT